AATAATAATAATAATAATAATAATAATAAAATTAGAGCAAACAGCAGATTAATATATATGAAAAGGACATAATGAGAATATTATCTACAGATTACAGCTATCTTCCGTTAGTAACAACAGGATCATGAACCCTAATGTGCGACTTTAGTTTTAATTGCTCAAAGTCCGTTTATGTCCCAAGCTTTAACAAAGCTATTTTTCAGGGACAGGAAAATCTCATAATGATCTTGTGGTTCAATCAAATGTAGACAAAAGGCTTATAACTTATTAAGGAAATCATGAGCTCCGTTTAGAAAACAAAGGCGCTTATCAAGTGAATATAAATTGTTACATGTAGGTGTTCATGCTTCGAGTAATGAATATCCATGCTGTTTTGATAACGGAATGCAAGTTTTTATGCAACATACATGTTCATTTGCAAAATCAAAATTATTGGTAGATTGATTAAAGCATATATAACTGGATTAAATAAAAATGACTAGCCCTGGAATGAAAAAGAAGTTTTATGAAGATTATCCCCCCCCCCCAAACCTTTTCCCACCTATTGTCCGTGTTGCCCCTTCTTCGACCCTACCACCAACCTTGATAGTTAAAATTTTAACAATTCAGACTAATCACTCCATAGATTTAGAACACATTAGTCTATTAAGGAATCTATCTGGTTCTAAAGACTCTATGCAGGGTAATCAGAGCTGAGTTCCAGAAGCCGAAAACATCATTATTTTGGTTAAGAAATTTAATTTTGAATATTGGCTCAGGTTCTTGGCGAAATTTCGAGTTTTCTCGAAATAAATAATGTCTACACAAGCTGCATTCACACTTTTTTCTTCTTCCTTGCAAGCTCACAAAGGTGAAATTCAATTATTCACTCACTATCACTAACACACTCAAGGAACCACTTCCACACTTGCTTACATTCTTTCGCACACTCATAAAGATCTACCTGTTTATAAACACATTTTATTTTGTGTTTTTGCTTTTTGTTCTTTGTTCTTTCTACTTCTACTCCCAAAGTCGACAGTTCTTGTGCAGTTTGCAACACTGGACTTGTAACTGGACTTGTACCGGGAAGAACCACCACTGGCGTTTGTGGTGCAGCGGTTAGGGCTTCGCCGACGCAAGCAGAAGACCCCACTTCGATTCCAGTGTAGAGATAATTTTTATCGAGTATTTCGATCCCTCTCATACCGGGTTGTCCCTGAGAGGAAGGGTCGAAACCCACCTCCTAAATCATTTACATTGTGTTGATGGGGACACAAACAAAATTCAGGGATTCACTTGAAAGGAGTTAACTTTTTTACCTGCAGCGTTTCTGAATTTATTGCTAATGGCAGAGGCTGAAGTGTTTCCAAACCCATCCCATCGATATGGGCGCGTCTCAGAACTTGTGCATGATTTAGATTTTATTTAACCGCAGCTTTGTCTCTGTGAACAGGCAGTATTGACAGACAGAATATTTCACAAGACCTTCTATTAGACTGCAAATCAATAAATTTCCTCATCAACAATAATCGGGACCATTAAAGTATACATTTTATACACATATATTTTGCAAGGTCTTTAAATGTCTTTTAACACGAATTTTCGAAAAGTGCTACGATAAATAAACGGCAGTAGACATCCCAGTACAATAGCTGCATGACTGAGCTCACACGGTTTAGGAAATTACAATAAGACAAAAGATACAGAAGACCAATGCCTAAATTCGTACACGGGCCTTGTTATTAGTCTATTTATTCTAACCAGTGCCACAATCAATAGCTCAACTATTTGCATGAACCGCCCCCGCCCCCACTCTCTCTCTCTCCCTCTCTC